TTGTTATGCCCCTTATGTGTAGCGGAAGCGTGTTGAACAGTCTCGGGCCTCTGATGTTGATAGAGTTCTCTCACAGAGTACCTGTTGCACCTCCGCTTTTCAACGGGGGTATTCTGCACATCCTGCAAAGATTGATAACCCAAATGAATTTTTCATGGATATGATACCAACATCAAATCATATATCAGACGTCACCCTATCCCCACTAGATTTTGAAGAAGCCATAAACAGTATGCCTATGCACTCTGCACCAGGCCCGGATTCTTGGAACTCCATATTCATCAAGAACTGTAAAAAACCACTATCGCAGGCCCTCCACATTCTGTGGAGACAAAGCCTAGATACTGGCGTTATTCCTGATATACTAAAAACAGCAGAGATAGCACCACTTCATAAAGGAGGAAATAAGGCAGAGGCAAAAAATTACAGACCGATAGCACTATCATCGCACATTATAACAATTTTTGAGAGTGCTAAGAAGTAAGATCACAAAATACATGGAATCACAGCATCTCCATAACCCCGGACAACACGGTTTCAGAACAGGGCGCTCTTGCCTGTCGCAGTTGCTGGACCACTATGATATGGCATTAGATGCTATGGAAGACAAACAAAACGCTGATGTAATTTACACAGATTTCGCAAAAGCTTTTGATAAATGTGATCATGGCGTTATTGCACATAAAATGCGTTCAAAAGGAATTACCGGAAAAATAGGCAGATGGATCTACAATTTCCTGACCAACAGAACCCAATGTGTAATAGTCAACAAAATAAAATCCAGCCCATCAACCGTGAAGAGCTCAGTCCCCCAGGGTACTGTGCTTGCTCCAGTACTTTTTCTCATCCTCATATCGGACATAGACAAGAACACAACCTATAGCACTGTATCATCCTTTGCAGATGACACTAGGATCTTCATGAGAGTAGGCAACATAGAGGACACGGCAAACCTCCAGTCAGATGTAGATCAGGTCTTTCTATGGGCTACAGAAAATAATATGGTGTTTAACGAAGATAAGTTCCAGCTCATGCGCTATGGAAAAAAATGAAAATATAAAAACTGATCAATTATTAATATACCAAACTGATCAATTTTAATATAAAAACTGTAAATTATTATGTATCTCTCCCGCCTGCGCTCAAGGGAGTACAGATTTAGGCTCTTTAGTCGGTCCCAATAGTTTAGATGTTTTACTGAGTGGATTCTAGCAGTAAAGGATCTCTGCACGCTCTCCAGGTCAGCAATTTCTCCAGCTTTGAAAGGGGCTGCCATTGTGCAGCAGTACTCCATTCTAGAGAGCACAAGCGTTTTGAAAAGTGTCATCATCGGTACAGCATCTCTAGTGTGAAAAGTTCTTGTTATCCAACCTGTAATTTTTCTTGCAGTTGTGACGGGTACTTTATTGTGTTCTTGAAAGGTAAGGTCTTCCGACATGAGTACACCAAGATCCTTTACATTGCCTTTTCGTTCTATGTTATGATTTGCCTGAGTTTTGTTTTGGCTCGATCATAGAAACTGAGTAAATTCGATACACAGGATCTTCCAGGTCGAAAACCATATTGACTGTGTGATATTATATCGTTTCTCTCCAGGTGTTCTACCCATTTAGTTTTTATTATTTTTTCCAATATTTTGACTAATACACTTGTCAATGATACAGGTCTATAACTGAGGGTGTCTTCCCTGTTGCCACTTTTGTAGATTGGAACTTTGTTAGCCTTTTTCCACGCATCAGCTACAACTCCTGTAAACAGGGATGCCTGAAAAATCAGCTGAAATGGAATGCTGAGCTCAGGTGCACATTCTCTTAGAACACATGGTGAAACTCCATCCGGGCCAACTGCTTTGTTCTTAGCTCCAAGAGCATTAGTTTCACTTCGTCTCTAGACACCTATATGTGCTCTATGCTGTTCTCTGGTATTCTTATTGTGTCTGGTTCTCTGAAGATCTCATTTTGTACAAACACACTTTGGAACTTTTCATTTAATGTTTCACACATTTCTTTTTCATTTTCCGTGTATCTGTCTCCCATTTTCAACCTCTGAATATTATCCTATACTTGCTGCTTGCTTTTAATGAATTTATAGAAAAGGCCTGGATCTGATTTACAGTTGTCTGCTATACCGTTCTCAAAGTTCCTCTCTGCCTATCTCCTTACTGACGTGTAGTTGTTTATTGAATCTTTGTATCGCTGGTATGTTTGGGGGTTTGGCCTCTTTCTATAATGATTCCATGCTTGTGTCTTTTGATCTCTGACCCTCTCGTAATTTCTGTTGAACCAACCCTGCTTCTTAGGTCTGTTTTGGTATGAATATTTGTGTGCCTTCATCGTATATTTTGCAAAATTTGGCATACTTCTCATTTACTTACTTGCCTACCAACACATCTGTCCAATTAAACCCATGAAAAAAAAATTAAAGTTCCCCATAGCGTCCTCTCTTGAAATCGAGTTTAACAACTGTTTCACTGTCCCCATTCTCTACTAGATTATATCGCATAGCGTATTTAATGTCCAAGAGGACGTGATCACTCTTTCCCAAGGGAGGAATCGAAGGTACTGGATGTCAAATACCTCTTCTTCTTTCTTGGTAAATACTAGATCCAGTACTGACGGAACATCCCCTTCCCTCATTCTTGTGGCCTGCTTGACGTGTTGATACATGAATGTCTCCAAGATGAGGTTTACAAATCTCCCTGCATGACTGTGTGTATGTGTGTGTGTTTGTGTATGTATGTGAGCGTGTGTGTGTGAGCGGTTGCGCGTGTGTACTCACCTAATTGTGCTTGCGGGGGTTGAGCTCTGGCTCTTTGGTCCCGCCTCTCAACTGTCAATCAACAGGTGTACAGGTTATTGAGCCTATTGGACTCTGTCATATCTACATTTGAAACTGTGTATGGAGTCAGCCTCCACCACATCACTTCCTAGTGCATTCCATTTATTAACTATTCTGACACTCAAAAAAATCTTTCTAACGTCTCTGTGGCTCATCTGGGTACTAAGTTTCACCTGTGTCCCCTTGGTCGTGTCCCACCCGTGCTGAAGAGTTTGTCATTGTCCACCCTGTCAATTCCCCTGAGAATTTTGTAGGTGGTTATCATGTCTCCCCTTACTCTTCTGTTTTCCAGGGACATCTCTGGAATGTGAGCTCACACACACACACACATCACATCAAGATGTGTGTGAGTGTGTGTGTGAGCGTGTGCCTGTGAGCGTGTGTGTGTATGAGTGTGTTGGATGTGTGTGTGCGTGTGAGCATGTGCAGGCGAGCGTGTGTGAATGAGTGTGTTGGATGTGTGTGTGTGTGTGCGTGTGAGCGTGTGCAGGCGAGCGTGTGTGAATGAGTGTTGGAGATGTGTGTGGGCGTGTGAGCGTGTGCGTGTCCATGTACTCACTTAGTTGTGCTTGCGGGGGGTTAAGCTCTGTCTCTTTCCGCTTCTCAACCGTCAATCAACTGGTGTATAGATTCCTGAGCCTACTGGGTTCTATCCAATCTACATTTGCAACTGTGTATGGAGTCAGCCTCCACCACATCACTGCCTAATGCATTCCACCTGTTAACTACTCTGACACTGAAAAAGTTATTTCTAATGTCCCCTGTAGCTCATTTGGGTACTCAGTTTCCACCTGTGTCCCCTTGTTTGCGTACCACCCGTGTTAAACAGTTTATCTTTATCTAACCTGTCAATTCCTCTGAGAATTTTGTAGGTAGTGATCGTGTCTTCCCTTACTCTTCTGTCTTCTAGTGTCTTGAGGTGCATTTCTCGCAGCCTTTGTGACACATGCCTCTTAGTTCTGGGACTAGCCTAGTGGCATATCTCTGAACTTTTTCAAGCTTCGCTTTGTGCTTAACAAGGTACGGACTCCATGCTGGGGCCGCATACTCCAGGATTGGTCTTACATATGTGGTATACAAGGTTCTGAATGATTCCTTGCACAGGTTCCTGAAGGCAGTTCTGATGTTAGCCAGCCTAGCATACGCCGCAGATGTTATTCTTTTGATGTGGGCTTCAAGAGACAGGGTTGGTGTCTCCAACATCATTTAGCTAAGCAAGTTACAATCTTGGTGAGCTAGTTACAAAATTCAGTATAAGTCGTCACATCATCAATGGGTTCGAGATCGACCACAAGTACAGTTTCTAAATTTAGCAACTGACATATATGGAGAGCTAGTGTCACAATTGATATGTTTGTCCTGCACACCGCCCCCAATCCAGTGGGCAGCGGTGGATAGGTTACAATCACTTATAGTTACTATCTACAGTTAGCAAACTGGGGATATTTGGCCAAAATTACTGGTAGCAGATCATTTTGTATTAAATATTTACACATTGTTGGAACATTGGTTATAGAATTGTCTCTGAATTCACGTATCTTTTCGCACACCATCACATAGTGACGGAGGGTGTGCGAATAATTTTGTTGACACAGTTTACATTTGGTCAGATCTACATCAGCAGATAATGAGAATTCCCAGAGATTCAGAGACTTGAAGTTTTACATTCTTGTAAAGCCACTAGCACGCATAGCGTTTTGGCAGTCCCGTTAACGGCCGCTGGTGGGGGTTGATGGGTGGATTAATGTGGGATTGATGGGTGTGATAAACGTGGGGTTGACGGATGTGATTAACGTGGGGGTTGACGGATGTGATTAACGTGTTTTTTCAGGGATATTTCTGCGTGGGCGTGATTAACATGGGGTTGATGGATGTGATTAACGTAGCTGTCGCTAGTGGGGTTGATGGATGTGATTAACGTGGTCACCGCTGGTGGGGTTGATGGATGTGATTAACATGGGGTTGATGGATGTGATTAACGTGAGGTTGATGGATGTGATTAACGTGGGGTTGATGGATGTGATTAAGGTGACTGCCCCTGGTGGGGTTGATGGATGTGATTAAGGTGGTGTTGATGGATGTGATTAAGGTGGGGTTGATGGATGTGAACAACGTGGGGTTGATGGATGCAATTAACGTGGTGTTGATGGATGCAATTAACGTGGTGTTGATGGATGTGATTAAGGTGGCCGGGGCTGGTAAACACAGGCGCACTTGCCGCCTCGCCCGCCAGAGGGACCAGTCTCGCCGCCGCCAACGTGCACCTTCGCCGCCTCCACACACATATACGCCTAGTATCTCCCTCTCCTTCGTGTGTAGGTATGTATATATACAACAGGCAAGCGGAGAGGCATGCACATATCCCCCGGGTATGTCTGCGTGGGTGAGAATTGCGCCAATGTGAGGTAAATGTGGATGTGTGTACAGAAGCCCCACCCATTAATGTCGAGGGAAAATCGTTGTGGGAGCGAGGTGATAAGGGAGTGAGGCGGGGGGCTGGTGGTGTCTGCCAGGGCCTCCTGCACCTCGCCTTCACCGCCCTCGCCTCCTCTAGTGGGGCTGGGCATGGTTATGGTGGTGGCTCTGGCTGCATGCGGCCCCTGCACCCTCAGAAAGGTCTCGCGCAACTTCTTACTGGAGGCTGTGCATTATGCTTGTAGCCCTCGTCTCTCTCTCATGCAGCCCCCTCGTGTCTCTCTTGCAGCTCTCATCTCTCTCGTACAGCTCTCGTGTCTCTTGCAGCTCTCATCTCTCTCGTGCAGCTCTCGTGTCTCTTTTGCAGCTCTCATCTCTCTCGTGCAGCTCTCGTGTCTCTTGCAGCTCTCATCTCTCTCGTGCAGCTCTCGTGTCTCTCTTGCAGCTCTCATCTCTCTCGTGCAGCCCTCATCCCTCTCTCATGCAGCCCTCATCTTTCTCGTGCTGCTCTGATCTCTCTCTCATGTAGCCCTCATCTCTCTCATGCAGCCCTCATCTTTCTCGTGCAGCCCTCATCTTTCTCGTGCAGCTCTGATCTCTCATGCAGCCCTCGTCTCTCGTGCAGCCCTCATCTCTCGCAGCCCTCATATCTCATGCAGCCCTTATCTCTCATGCAGCCCTCATCTTTCTCGTGCAGCTCTGATCTCTCATGCAGCCCTCGTCTCGTGCAGCCCTCATCTCTCTCATGCAGCCCTCATCTCTCATGCTGCCCTCGTGTCTCTCTTGCAGCTCTCATCTCTCTCTCATGCAGCCCTCGTCTCTCATGCAGCCCTCGTCTCTCATGCAGCCCTCGTGTCTCTCTTGCAGCTCTCATCTCACGTGCAGCTCTCGTCTCTCGTGCAGCTCTCATCTCTCGTGCAGCTCTCATCTCTCGTGCAGCTCTCATCTCTCGTGCAGCTCTCATCTCTCATGCAGCTCTCATCTCTCGTGCAGCTCTCATCTCTCATGCAGCCCTCATTTCTTTTGCACAGCCCCTCATTTCTCTCGTGCAGCTCCTCATTTCTCTCGTGCAGCCCCTCATCTCTCGTGCAGCCCCTCATCTCTCGTGCAGCCCTCATCTCTCGTGCAGCCCTCGTCTCTCTCTTGTGCAGCCCTCGTCTCTCTCTCGTGCAGCCCTCGTCTCTCGTGCAGCCCTCGTCTCTCTCGTTCAGCCCTCGTCTCTCTCGTTCAGCCCTCGTCTCTCGTTCAGCCCTCTTCTCTCTCGTGCAGCCTTCTTCTCTCGCGTGCAGCCCTCATCTCTCTCTCTCTCTCAATGCTCAACATCAGCTGCCTGTATGGGAGTTGCGACAATTCTATTACAGCCTAGAAAAAGGGAAACCGGACAAATGTTGTACTAGTAGTAAGAAATAAAGTACTGTAGAGGGGTTCTGGAATAGACTGAATGTGTGACGCCACATTACAATAAAAAGTTATTGTCCTGGGGGGGAATTATCAGGGGAAAGTGCCAAGCCATTAAAAAAATATAACACTGCGAAGGGACCAGGATAATTATTTGGGTTGGGACGGAGAGGAATGAATGGTGCCCAACCACTTGGACGGTCGGGGATTGAACGCGCACCTGCATGAAGCGAGACCATCACTCTACCATCCAGCCGTAGAGCGACGATCTCGATTCATGAAGGTCGGCATTTAATCCCCGCCTGTCCAAGTGGTTGGGCACCATTCCTTCACCCTATCCCAAATCTTTATCCTGAGTCCTTCCCAGTGTTATAGTCATAATGGCTTTGTGCTTTCCCCTGATAATTCCCTTCCCTTCTACCATCCAGCCCAAGTGGTTGGGATGGACAGTAGACCATAATGTTGGAAAGTTGGGTGTGCCACATGTGAATGGTACTCATTCCCTTGATGGATGAGTTGTTTGGAGAGGAGGTTGTCAAATGCTTCTTTCGAGAAGAGGTGCCACATGAAGGCAAAGGGAAGGGGACGATATGGAGCAAAATATTTTGATTGGAAGTGGGGAGGAGAGTAAGGGTTCATCTTTATATAACTACATTATATTTAGTGCAATATTTATACTGCAGACTTAACAAAAAATGGCTGAAGATGAAAATGTGGGAATTGAACCTGTGCCAGAGGAAGAGGAACCCACCAACTATAAACCTCCGCCAGAGAAGACGCTGGAGGAGATGCTCAGCAAGGATGCACATGATGAGAGTCTCCGCAAATACAAGGAGACATTGCTTGGCAGTTCAGCAGCCGGGGCAACAGTTATTGGTAAGTTAAATATATATTTCAACCCCAAATAATTGGACCATTGTATACTGCCCAATGTTTGGTGAAGCAAAAATTTAGTTAAACAAAGAGGAAGCTTGGGGATTTTTGCAATGAAATACAGTAGTTTCAGGCATTCCTACTCATCAACATTGCTAAGTATATAATTTTCCCCTGTGCTTTTCTCATTTATGATAAAATAGTGTGGATGGTTTGATTATATGTAAATACTGTATTGTTGGGAGGGAAGGAATTAGACCACCTGTGATCCTGAAAGTTAATGACAACCCAAAATCTAGCTTTCTCTACAAGATGAGAAGACCTTGAGGATCCACAGACTTACCCAAAACTGAGAAAAAATCCACCAGGCATAACAAAACCAGCACCCACTTCAAAGAAAGAAATGATGCCCAAGGCAAACGAGGCAAGCGATCGTTGCCGTGCGTGAGCAACACTAACCTTAATGCACTCGATTGCCACTCTCGGGACTGGCCTCTATCTGCCCTGACTACAATCTCTCTCATGACCATTATGAGACCCTCTCGTTTGTCATCCAGTTCCTCCTTTGTCCACGTGTTGCTTGCTGGCGGTCTATAGGCATTTACGATTATCAGTTTATCCCTAATTCCAGACCTGCAATGCCAATATGTCAACTCGTGAGGGTTTCTGATTATTAACTCTTGCCTTCAGGTGTTCTTTTACCAGCACAGGCACTGTTCTCCCCCTTACTAGTTTTCCTATCCCATCTCCAAATGAGTAGCCCCTTGGGAATATGACTTAATTTAAAATATTTTCAAGTTTCGTCTGTCAGTGCGACAATATCTGGGACCTTAGCTGAGTTTTGTGTGTACTGAATTGTGCGTGTGTATAAAGAGCCGAGTACACAAGTGCAGTTTTTGGGTCACATTAAGTGATTCCTTCCTATCCATGGCTTTGTATGCCTTCACTTTCTGAGTATTGGTCAGGGATAGGTCTGTGACTTCATGACACTTGATTTCCCTCATGCCTGGCACACATGGCCAGTTGTGTAACAGTCCTGGAACAGGTACTGTACTAGCATACCTGTTGCCTTCAGAAAGTCTGGTCTCCTCATCTTCTCCGACGGATTCAGTACCAGACTTTGCAGCTTTCCAGGATGCACGAGGTTTTTTTGAACAATGAACATTCCTGTTGTCTGTCATTGGGCCTGTTGAATTAAGAAGTATTTTCACCCTTGGGTGTAATTACCTAATTGTAGTTATAGGATGAGAGCTGTGGGCATGGTGTCCTATCTCCCCGGCACTCTTTATCATATCAAGTTTTGAATCTATTGACGGTTTTGGCCTCTTCCATCTTATTTTAACTTGTTCTAACCATCTACCACTGTTTGCAAAAGTGAACTTTCTAATGTTCTTTCAGCAGCTTGGCTTAATAAGCTTAAATATGTGACCTCTTGTTCTTGAAGTTCCAGATTTCAAGAATTCTTCATTATCAGTTTTGTTGATTCTTGTCACTATTTTGTACTTTGTGATCACATTGCCTCTTCTATCTTCTAGCTTTAGCATATTTAACGCCCTTAACCCCCCATCGTAGCTCTTGCCTTTCAGTTCTGGTAGCCATTTTGTTGAATATCTTTGCATCTTTTCCAGTTTGTTGAAGTCCTTGAGATATGGGCACCATACAACAGCAGCGTATTCCAACTTTGGTCTCATAAAGGTTGCAAATAATTTCTTTAATATTTTGCCATCTATGTATTTAAGAACAATTCTGAAATTGAAAAGCATTGCACAGGCTTCTTGCACAATGTTCTTTATATGGTCCTCAGGTGACAGTTTTCTGTCTACAACCACTCCTAAATCTCTCGTCAGAATTCTATAAAACTTTTTCATATAATTTGTAGGTTGTGTGGCCTATTATCTTCTATTCTATATTCCATAATGTGGCATTTATCAAAGTCAAATTCCATTTGCCAGGTGTTGCTCCATACACTTTTGCATAGGTCTTGCGGGGCATAATGATCATCAAAGTTTCTTATCTTCCTTAGTATCTTGGCATCATCACCAAACATGTTCATATAATTCTGCATTCCTTCTGGTAGAGCATTTATGTAAACATTGAACATTACTGTTGCAAGAACTGAATCCATTTTGTACTCCAACTGTACCCGCTAGTACTCAGTGACATTTCTCCAGTCTGGTACATTGCCTCTGATTATTGCCCTCATTTCACTGTCAGTTAGAACATTTTTCATCCATATTGGAAGCCTCCCTGTCACTTCTCCAGGATGTTCCAGTTTCCAGAACAACCTCTTAGTGGGACAGTCGAAAGCTTTTTTGTAGGTCCATATAAATGCGGTCAACCCAACAATCTCTTTCCTGTAAAATTTCTGTGGCTCTGTCATGATGACCTATCAGGCTGAAGCCTTGTTCAGGGATTATGCCTTGCATAATAGGTGATTGGTGCTGCTGATGTGGCTCGATGGCCTTGTGTTACTGCATGGTGGGGTACCAGTGTCTTCCATGTGCCCTCTGTTTCATCCCTATTTTTACTAATCTGCTAAGACTGCTCACCTTTATTATCTTGTGTATCTTCAGCCTCCTCCTTTCTGCTTTGTAAATGGTCATGAGGCTTGGCATTCCTATTTCTTATGCTCAGATCAAATGAGAAATGTTGTCATTAGAATAACTCACGAAATGCAGAAAGACGAATAACATTGTAAGTTTGATTGCAGAATGGCCATGTTCATTAATGATTTAGGATCCCGGTCTTCTATGCTGTTCTAAGCTCTGGCTTGTCAGGTGTCAATGCTCATATAAAAGGTGATAAGGTAAAGCCAGGTTATGTTAGTGGTGGCCGCTAAGCTCTCAAACTACCCGAATAGGATGCATGTAAATATTATCCTACTTTTGGATTAAACAGGATAAAACATTTTCTATGGCTACAAATAATGTAATGCTGGATGTGGGCTGTATACCAAAATTGGAGCACCTCTGTCAAATATAATACAGGTACATGTAATTTTTTTTCCAGAACCACATAACGAAAATCGTGTGTTGGTTAGAAAGTTAACGCTGTTGGCAGAAGGTCGTCCTGACATGGAGCTTGACCTTACTGGGGATCTTGAGAAACTTAAAGACACAGTCTTCGTTATAAAGGTCAGTCAGCTCGGTAATTGGTTCATTTTCCAGTATTCAGTGTACGGTAAGACTAAATTTTCAACTAAATTAATGTTTCAAGTGGTAGATTTAAAGTTGTTGAATCAGAAATCTTCATTTTACTGTACTGTATATTGATTGTAAAAGGAAAGACTAAAAACTTTTCTGACCTTCCACTTTCATGCAACTCACACTTGCAGCAGGCAAAACATATGCCTTGAATTCCTTTATATGTTTCTGTTTGATACAATTTTTGCCGGAATTATTAATCGTTATTGTAATTTATAAAGAGATGCAAACATAGTTGTTGTTTTTTTCCAGGAGGGTATAAGCTACAAGATTCGCATAGACTTTCACGTTCAACGTGAGATTGTGACAGGTTTGAAGTACATCCAGCGAACCTTTAGGAAGGGCATCCTAGGTTTGTATTTGGTTTATATTTTTATCAATACATGTAAAGCTTGAATTTTCCAGTAGAAATGCAAATATTCCAGTAGATACACATTGCATAAAAAGTAAAGGTAATTGATGAAGAACTGAGAATGGCACAAGGTGCATTTCATTGTTATATAGTAATCAAAAATTCTTTTAGGATATTTGGTGATTTTTTCTTTTTGTACATAAGTAATTATATTTAATAACATTTTTCTTGTCATTTTGCTTCTGGTTGATAATTAAGAATACTTCATAGGAGTAGTACTAGCTTGTAACACCTGGTGTATTGGCACACATGGTATACTGTACCCAATTATTATTGTCTAGTATATCCCACTGTTGGTCACTAACCTTTTGGGTATGATATTCAGCATTATTCCACAGCAAAAAATCTTCTTTATTGCAACGTTCGACTTTATATATCTTTCATAGATAAATGTGTCCATATTGTAGTACTGTGATTTTGTTTATAGTATAGGTACTCTGAAACCTTTAAAAATGCTTCCAAACTTCACTATGTGCTCCTGTCTGGTGATTAACAGTGCTAAACCCAACCATAAAGCTTGCTGTAAATCATGGCTTATAAGTTGTCAAATGGTGCTTCATTTTATATTAAAACTATGGATCATACTACAGTATATGCCAGTAAAATGGCAAGCAGCAGAGCAGCAGTTTGTAAATGACAACAAAGGCTAAGGACAAGTCGAAGCTGTTCCATATAAGGAAGAACTCAATAGTAAGAGATCACTGTTTGATTTTCATGTTCCCAGCCATGTTATCAGGCTGGGAAGTATCCTCCTGGAGAGTGACAAAGTGGTTTGCAAGGGCCTTGGCAGGGGATTCCAAGAGGTCTACAAAACATTCATGAGTCCAAAGATAGGAGACAATTGATGGCCAGAAAAAGCACTAGGCAGTATAATAGTGAAGAAAAGGTAAGAAAGACACCTAGAGGAATTAGATGTAACCAAACCAAATGTCCCGTGGTTTTCCATGGATACTGAATGACGCTGCAAGCATTCTGGGCTATCCATTAACTATGGCTTTCAGTATAACGTTTGGAGACTGAGAGCTTCAGTGTACAGTATATGAAAAAAGGCAAACATCCCAATATTCAAGAAAGGGGGGATCATCCAAAAAGCACTAAACCATAGACCAGTGTTATTAAATTAATCCCTCTACACACAAGGGGCATAACTGGCTGACCTCTAGCAGTGTTCAAAAGAGGACTTTGATAAATGCCTTCAAAAGATGCCTGATCAAGCAGGCTGTGATTCATTCGTCAAACTGCAAGCAGCCGCATTAAACAGCCTGGATGACAAGACCACCAACCAAAAATTTTGGAAAAAGTAATCTGGAAGAGACTAGGGAGCACCATGAGAGAACAAACCTCAAACATCTTCATTTGTATAAGTCATAACAAATAAAATGGATTTGATGTGGAAGTTGTCAATACTAATTCAATGCATTGATTTAAATGTATGTCAAAAGTGAAAAAAAAATAGTTGAACTACTGATTGTTGAAAGTGAGATTTAAGATTAGATTCTTGACCCTGCAAGCACATGAAGACAAGTATTACCCCCCCCCCTCCCCTCCTCTTCCCCTCCTCCCTCATCATGTAATTACCTAAGTGTAGTTACAGGATGAGAGCTACACTCATGGTGTCCCGTCTCCCCTGCACTCCTTGTCATATAACGCTTTGAAATTACTGACGGTTTTGGCCTCCACCACCTTCTCGCCTAACTTGTTCCAACCGTCTACCACTCTGTTTACAAAAGTGAATTTTTCTTATATTTCTCCGACAGCTTTGTTTCACTAGTTTAAATCTATGACCTCTTGTTCTTGAAGTTCCAGGTCTCGGAAATTCTTCCCTATCCATTTTATCGACTCCTGTTACTATTTTGTACGTAGTGATCATATCGCCTCTTTTTCTTCTATCTTCTAGTTTTGGCATATCTAGTGCCTCCAACCTCTCCTGTCCAACCTCATATTTAGTAAGTAAGTAATTATCAATAGAAGGCACCAAACCAGGAAGGCTATGTAGCACCATAACCTCATATTTAGTGCCTCCTGTCCTTCAGTTCTGGGAGCCATTTAGTGGCATGTCTTTGCACCTTTCCAAGTTTGTTGATGTGCTTCTTAAGATATGGGCACCATACAACTGCTGCATATTCCAGCTTTGGTTTTACAAAAGTTGTGAACAATTTCTTTAGTATTTCTCTATCCATGTATTTAAAAGCAATTCTGAAGTTAGAAAGTATAGCATAGGCTCCTCGCACAATGTTCTTAATGTGGTCCTCAGGTGACGGTTTATTTTTTTATCTAGAACCACCCCTAGATCTCTTTCTTTATCAGAATTCTTTAAAGATTTCTCATATAATTTATAGGTTGTATGGGGTCTATGTTCTACTCCACAGTCCATAACATGGCATTTATTCACATTAAATTCCATTTGCCAAGTGGTGCTCCATATATTTATTTTGTCCAGGTCTTTTTGAAGGGCATGACAATCATCTAAGTTTCTTATCATCCCTATTATCTTAGCATCAGCAAACATGTTCATATAATTCTGTATTTATCTGGTAGATCATTTAAGTAGACAATGAACATTACCAGTGCAAGAACTGAACCCTATGGTACTCCACTTGGGACATTTTTCCAGTCTGATACATTGCCTCTGATTACTGCCCTCATTTTTCTATCAGTTAGAAAATTTTTCATCCATGTTAGAAGCTTACCAGTCACCTCTTCTATATGTTCCAGTTTCCAGAATAACCTTTTATGTGGAACTCTGTTGAAAGCCTTTTTTAGGTCCAGATAGATGCAGTTAACCCAACCATCTCTTTCCTGTAAAATCTCTGTGGCTCAATCATAGAAACTGAGTAAATTCGATACACAGGATCTTCCAGATCGAAAACCATACAGTCTGTCTGATATTATATAATTTCTCTCCAGGTGTTCTACCCATTTAGTTTTAATTATTTTTCCAATATTTTGACTATTACACTTGTCAATGATACAGGTCTATAATTGATGGGGTCTTCCCTGCTGCCACTTTTGTAGATTGGAACTATGTTAGCCTTTTTCCACACATCAGCTACAACTCCTGTGCACAGGGATGCCTGAAAAATCAGTTGAAGTGGAATGCTGAGCTGAGATGCACATTCTCTCAGAACCCATGGTGAAACTCCATCTGGACCAACTGCTTTGTTCTTATTTAGTTCCCTGAGCATTTTTTCCACTACGTCTCTAGATACCTATGTGCTCGATGTTCTCTGGAATTCTTATTGTGTCTGGTTCCCTGAAGATTTCATTTTGTACAAACACACTAACTTTTCTTTTAATGTTTCACGCATTTCCTTTTCATATTCCGTGAATCTGTTTCCCATTTTCAACCTCTGAATATTAACCTTTACCTGCAATTTGTTGTTTATGAATTTATAGAATAGGCCTGGTTCTGTTTTACATTTGTCCGCAGTATTTTTTAAATTGCTAATGTGCACATGTGTACGTACTTGCCAAAAAAGATCCTCCTCAAAGGTCTTCCCTTGCAGTGAGGGAGGCTCGGGTATGATTCCTTAGGGCTGATGCAGGGATGCCTCCCCCCCCCCCCACCTCTTGCCCTCTTCTGAGCATTGTGTATGAAAAGATTAATATAAGATACCTATTTGGGTCACCACTACCACCTGAAGGAGTCACCTATGAGGGGCCACCCTTGGACATTGGTTGGGTATCTGGGCTGGGACGAGAGAGAGAAAGGTCTTTTGACCAGTGTGGGAGAATGTACAATGCAGTCGGGCTCAGAAACCCTTTCTATGATGAACCCAGACTTGGCTTTTATTTTGTCTTTCCTCTCCATTCCCTTCCCACTTCCTTGGCAGGGTTGAACCCTGAAGTCTCCTGTGATATTTTGATGTTAATCACAATGACCATTCCTGCCTTTATTTATACTGCACATATATAAATACCTTATCGACTCTGTGGATACCTATGGTACCTTTTACCTCACCTGGATTGGTACACACATCATTACAGCCCCTTCTTAAGAGGCAGCAGCTGATCACTTAGCAGCTTTGTCTTGCATTAATATACAACCTTGCATACACTTTTCCTGGGATACTAAGTAATCTAATTCCCTTATGGTTCCCACATCTGTCAATACTATCCTTTTTCAGATTCAGATTCTTTATTTAGGACAGATACATACATTTCAGATGAGTTACAAACGCAGTAGTACCCCCTTACCACACCATCTAGTATACATCCAATACTATGTCCGTCATCACCTCACCTCCCAGAACTCAACGTGGCTGCAATTATTCCATCTGCACAAGGAGCCTTTCCCATTTTTAAGATTCATAACTTCTATATTATTTCCCTGTCTATCCTCCTTTTACTTTGGTCGTGCTTCTTCAGCAATTGTAGCCTTTAGACTTAAAATATTCACTTCACTATTGATAACATCATGCACCTCTTGTCAATAAAGTCTCTTGTGCATCTTTCACTCTATGCACCTCCCAATGTTGCCTAAAACAATTGTTTAACCTTTCCACAAAATAACTTTTATTGCAAGAGTCCTCGCTCAACTTTTTCCCAAAACCACACAGCCTTTTCATTTCTTCATCCTTAACCATTTTACTTTTAATTTTGTTATAACTATTCTATCTTTCTTGCATCACTAGGTGCAACATCTTACAGCAGTCACTCATGCACTTCTTTTCTTTATAACAGTCTGTGACAGTTTCATTGAACCATGCAATATCTCTGTTCCGTTCATTTTCCCCAGCTTTATAACCATATACAGTACATCATATATACAGCTTTTTATCTCATCCCTAATACATTCGCATTTTAAATTCATATTCTTCGTGTCATTTTCCTCATTCATTCTAATATTTTATCTAAGCTTTCTTTATTTTAGCATTTCATCCATCTATAAATTCCTTGCCTTTAGATACTACACTCTCTAGTTGGAAACTCCACCTCCCACTTACCCTAATTTTCCACAATTGATAATGGTCATACCCCACAAGCATATCAGCTACCTTCATATTATTCACACTATTATATCTTTATCGACACATATACTAAGTATTAAATGTTTATGCTTTATTTCATCCCCTTTAATCTTTATCTCTATGTAATCCTATTAATAAACCTACGTTCAAAGAAAAAATGATAAACAAACCCCTCTCCAACACATCTACTGAGAACTCCACATTCCCATTCACACTGGGCATACCTCACTTTCCAACAACTTCTCTGCATTCATTTCCTACTCTTAACATTCCTTTTGTACCATCTTGTAGTTACTCCACACTATGTTGACCAAACCACACACTAGAAATTGAAGGGACGACAACGATGTTTCGGTCCGTCCTGCACCATTATCAGGTCGATAGTGCTCACTATCAACTTGATAATGGTGCCGGACGGACCGATACGTCGTTGTCTCTTCAATTTCTAGTGTGTGGTTTGGTCAACATTTTTCAGCCACGTTATTGTGACTCATCTGCATACTCCACACTATCATTCAGTTGATTCCAGAACACCTACATCTCATTCTTTCCAATAACATTCCAAGTCCACAGAACATTTAAGTTTTTTAAATGTCACATTTTAGGAGGATTGCATTACATTTCAGCATTATATTTCAACCATTGGTTCATAATAAAATTTAGGTCACTTTAATTTTTCATGCTGCTGACAAAACTGGTTGTCAGTTCCTTTGGCCAGCTGTCCATCACCTGGTTGAACCTGTACATGCTGATTATTCCTTCAAGTTGGAACCTTTAATGGATATAAGCAGCAAGGAGATTCTCCATCTTGATAAACAAAGTATGGTGAAATTGTAAAATATAATCATAATTCAAATAAAGGGGAATAAAAGCTAAGTTATTTCAAAATTAGCATGCTTGTATGATCAGAGAAACCCCTTACTTAAACCAGGACATCCATTGAACAATAAATGAACCATTTCAGTAATGGTGTTCAGTGACCATATTAGTCACATGAATTACACCTGACCAGATAATTTCCTTGTAATCCATCCCTGATAATTATGTTTACTATATTTTTAATGTTAACAAATATTCTATGGCATATGTTTTCCACAGTTTGATGTTTGAAACCTCTCTAGTTCTTTTGAAATTAAGTTATTAATTGCTCAGCGGAGATTTGCACCGTATATACCTTATAGACTAATCAAAAGGTCTTCAGAGAACTTCTTGAGGACACTAAACCATTTTTTTGTTTTCAAATTTTTCAATATTTGTTTGATTTGCACTAAAAAGCTTAAATTATTAACCATAGTTTGAGCTTTATTTGAAAGAAATAGATCAAGTCGAGTATTTTTGTCACCTTAAAAATAACAATTATAAAAGAGAGTCACCAACTTGATTCCTTGTGTGGGGTCTGAAGCTATCACATTCACTGATAGTGTACCATCTACTAGGTTGCATCAGTCACAGAGTTCTGTAGGAGCTTCATTTGAATTCTGATATTTGAGTTACATGGTTTATAAGTTCCCATGTTCCATTTTAACTTACACAGTGTGGAATAACTATACAATACTACTCTTCACTATCTTGCACGGTCCTTACAGCATCCTGACTCTCGCCTCTGTCGTGCTTTGACTTTTACCCCTCCTCTAGTTCCTGTTCCTCTTCACCACCTTCCTCTCTCTGTCCGTTTGTCTTGCTTACAAGATTCTCTTTCGGTTCGTATTACCAATGTTTCTCCTCGTATTGTTCCGTCCTGCCCCCGTGGAGGGTCCCCCTTCCCAAATTTTGTACTTCCCTGACCCGCATCACTAAAGCTTTTACCCCTCCTACAGTTCTGAAACTTTTTTTTCCTTGAGCACTTTTCTTTACATTCCCACTCTGTTTCCATCTTCACTGATGGGTCTAAGTCTGCTGACGATGTGGGTTACTCTGTTGTTTTTCCTGACCACCTTATATGTGTCACCTTCCTCCGGAGACTAGCATCTTCACAGCAGAACTTTATGCTATTCTCTATGCTCTTCGTCTCCTGCTTTCTCATTGTCGATTCTTCTTTGTGGTGGTTGTTGTTGGTCTTTTGTTATTGGTAACAAACTATGTACTCCTAAGAGTCGTGTGTCCCTGTGGCCTTCCTCCTACCACTGTAACCGGCGATGGGAAACAGCTCTGGCTGGGTTATGTATTGGCCATGCACGTTTAACACACGGTCACTTAATGGAGCGCCACCCTGCTCCTTATTGTCCAAATTGCATTGTTCCTCTTACGGTCATGCACATTCTTGTTGAATGTCCGACTTCCAGGACGAGCGTGTCTTGCTTTCTGACCGTCCCTCGCGGTCAATTGTCCCTCGATAGAATTCTTGGTGAATCGGAGACTTTTGATATTGTTCGCCTTATGCGTTTTTGTTCTCGTATTGGCATCCTTGGTGATATTTAGCGCCCTCTGATTACTCTGCACATTTGGTGGTGCTACATAGCCTTCCCGGATTGGTGCCTTCTTTTGATAATTACTTACTATATATTTACACATAATTGACAAAAATGGTGATTAAGTACTGTGCTGTATATTGGCCTACAATGTAATATGAATTCCTGTGATGCATGTAAATTTGTTGCTGGGACAATTTAAAGTGTCTTGCAACCTACTCTTTTGATGCTATTCTGTTTGGTAATGTCCAGAAATATTCAAATGCAAGCAGAAAAGCCAAACTGATTGTACTATATTCACAGGCCACTAGTACAGTACTGTATATGATTACTTCTTTTTGTAAGAAAATTAAATATAACAGAATTATTTCTGTGGTCTAGGTTACCTCCATTACATCCGTATAGATTTATTATAACCATATTTATATCATTTGTATGAAACAGGTCAATTATGAGTAAAATTAACATGGATGATAATCACATTACCCTGGGGATTGATATATGATGATGACCGCACTTTAAGGGTTAATAACTTTTCACTACATGTAGACCTAAATAAGATGGAATTTTTGTTTAAGTTTTCCCATAATAATGATTCTTGTATTATCAAATCTGACTGTATACCACATTAAATTTTGCATGTTAAAGTTTCTATTTGGATGTGTGTGTGTGTTATGTGCTCGCATGCAGTCAATTGATGCCTGCCACTGTCTTAATTATGATTTATTTTTTACCATGGTCACACTTTTAATTCACAGGTTCTGATCTTTAATTGGATTTTTTGGCTTTACCTAGCTAAAGAAAATGTGGTTATTTTTTGGCTAAAGCAGGGTCATGATATTGTTTTAAAATATTCAGATTTTGGGGGATGATGCTGAAGCTAATGACAGTTTTGAAGTAAATGTAGACTTTTTGTGCTGGAGAAAATTTAGACATTTTTGTGTTGGAGGCTGTCTGTCCTTTGGAACACATTTGGGCTTACTTTTTGAAGTATTATATGGCAGTGTAAAGTGTAAGAAATATTATTTGATAATTTGTCTTTAGTTGATGCCATTCATTAAGTGACGGTATGTATGGAAGCCTTCTGATCTATGTTTGTCTTGACAGTTGACAAGATGACACACATGGTCGGCTCTTACGCACCAAAGGAGGAAATTCAGTCATACACAACACCTATGGAAGATGCCCCATCAGGACTAATTGCCCGTGGACACTACACAGTTAAGTCGCTCTTCACTGATGATGATGGCAATGAACATCTCAAGTGGAAATGGGCTTTTAACATCAAGGAAAATTGGAACTGAAAACATGCCTGAAATATAGAGGCACATCAGTACAGAATTTATGAGGGCTGTTTATGTTTGTAGAGTAGCAAGTGAGGTTCAGTCAGGGAATTCAAGAAGAAAATTAGACTTTTTATAACAAAGGTACAGTAGTGTCAGGCATAGTACACGAGCATAGGAAGAGAGATGACTTTCAAACTCATTCATTGACTGATATGGTGCTTCAATTGCCTGTGCTTATAAATTATTAGCTGTTTGTTAATTTGGCCAATTTTGACAAATGGAGTGTGTTGGTATAGTGTGTTTAGTTATCTTTGTAGCATATCTACAGATCAATACGTAAATGCTGAGGCATTCACACAATAGGGTGTTAACTTTTAAGTTCTTCATTGGTTGTTTTGCATATTCATTATATAATTGTCAGTTGTAGGCCTGCTGGGCAACTCAGTGCCTAATGACTTGCTTTATGTTCCAGCAGATGATGCACATTTACATTACTTACGTACCTAGTAGGCAGTTTTTCTGCTGCGTTAGAATTACAAGTCCAACTTCTTTGGTTTTGTATGATTTTCCAATGATTCAACTGTGCCCCTATGATGGTTTGTTGCCCATAACCTTACTGTGAGGCTGCCATGCTGCAGGTGATTATTGGTGGATGAAGTGCACAATTTTTGTGACCATTATTAGAGCTTCAATTTGTGTCCAATGTAACAATTTAGACCACTGTGTTCCCAGCCCCTATGTTCAGAAATATTTTGCGTATTATTTTGACCATTAGCTTAGCATACGATAGCATTCCTTACTGCTGCGATGTCTTCAGGTTGTAATTTCTTTTTATTTGAATGTATACTAGTAATCTAATGTAAAAATATTATTAATATTATAAATAGTGGCCTCCATTTGTGTCCTTGTGCCCAGGCATATTGAAACCCAGGTGAGTGTTTATAATGACTTGCAACACAACTATATCATTAGTGATTGCTAATGAGAAAAGCTGCCTTTTTTCAATTCTGTAAACCAGAGTATAAACTCTTGAGTGTTGTTCCCTTCAGTAACAGATAAAAAGTGTGTTTATGGTAATCTTGGTTTACTTGCCATGAGGAAGCTGTGCCATTGATATAGTATGTAAGGAGACTGAAAGCAATCAGTGCACAAATATAGAAGTACGAGTTAATGTGTGCAAAGCTAGTACAGTAGTATTGTGGAAACAGCATACATCTTCCATTGTGTGATGTTAATGAAGTTTGCCTAGTCATTATAACAGTGTGAATGGTGAACAGGAATTATTTTATATAGACACTTTAAAAAGCATTGTTAACATCTGATAATGCCATCTCTTGCTATTGCAGGTAGGCTGTGTGTACTTAAGGTAGCCATGGTAATCCAAATATATCGTGGAATAAATTAGATAAAGCCACTGTGATGAAAATTGTTGTTTTAAAAATTTTATTTAAAAATGTTAAATAATGCATGCAGCAGGATATTGCCAGTTCATTATTTGTGGTAATGGAATGATAGAAAGTTGTATTGAGCATTATACAGTGGAAGCAGTAGGCTAGGATGTCAGCAATGTACTAATTTGGGGTGAAATGGAGCGTTTTAATTTGTCAGCGTACACTTGTGTGAACCATGGTGTACACAAGGTCAAGACTTGTCTACATAAGACTTTCACAGCAGATTTGAAGTCGAACAATAATTCCTGATTCTGTGATAAACTTTGGGTACGAACTTTCTTACTTGCTTTTCCACTTTTTTAATGGCAACAGCTTGGGATGAGTGTTTAGCCTGGTGAAGTTAGTGCTTTTTTGTTAGTTGTGTGTATATTTAGGTTTTCATGTATAATATTTGGTTCTCAATTTGATCATTCTAAACAAAAAAAAAAAGATTATTTCTTCCCTCCTGAATTTGGAATTCTATATGTAGTTGTCATGTTCACTTGCTATAAGAATATAATCTATCAAAACCATTCATAATAAACTTTAACTTGCTATAATTTAATTCTAAAGTTTTTTGTATAGTAATTTTAAAGCCTAAAAAAGTGAGAATGTAAAATATTGATAGGCTTCTATTATTCCTTGCGATTGATTAGTGTTAAGAGTATTCACCACACTGGAATAGGCTTCACAACTCAATTTATATGCTATTTATTTAGTGTGTTTTTTATAATACCAATTGCATTCTTAACAAAAAATAAGTTTTGCATTTATAATAATTGTGTGTCTTTCAGTGCTCTTTTTGTTTTCCAAGAAAGCCTTGCTGTAGGAATACTTAGACATCTCATCAAAGAACAACATTGCCTTGATTTCCAAAGTTTAGTGTATTGTAAGAATTTTTGTTAAAAATATATTTCGTAAAATTATTATTCTCAGCTTCAAAGCCACTTGAAACATTGCCATGAAAAATCTGAGGGTAATTGATATAACTAAAACTAGGAGTAAAGAAACAAATTGGGCATTGATTTATAAATTTTAATCTAGTATTTTCAGTGGTCAAATAAGTACTGTACAAGTTGGATGCCGTTAGTTTTAATTGACCGAGTCCTAGATGATACTTGTGTAAAGTGTTCATAAACTTGTGGTTATTGTTGGCAGTCATCATGATGGTTATTACAAGAGAACCACTATTTAAATGCCACTACTCAAATAAGCTAGAAACATGTTATGGGGCAATAAACATTTATAATTTGTACTGGGCTTCTTTATGTATAATCCTTTGAAAAATGTGTATTGAGCAATTGATTGTTAAATCTTGCATTAATAGCTCGATTGATTTCTATTGTACTGTATTGCTGTAAAATTGGCTTATTCAATATAAGGGATGAGCACTCATTGGGTAGTGTCTTGACATGGTGAGGGGATCTTGTGCACATTACCTTGGGTTCATGGTTTCCCTGTCTCCATGGGAGATTCATAGGGTGGGGACCAGACCCCACCCTACATGGGGGCATCAAGTGCCATAGTGAAGTGTCTTTTTGTCCCATATGTGGTTCTTCTAACCATAAGCTGGACTGTTCTTCTCATGCTCACTGCATTAACTGCGAAGAGGTCCACCATGTTATTTCATGCTCATGTACTGTATTCGTTGTAAGTTTGTGCAGGCTGTTCTTTGACATCGGGAGGGCCACCGATCATGGCTTCAAGTTCTCTTCTACTAAGACTTGTGCCATGACTTTTACTCGGAAATGGGTCGTTGTTGTTCGTCCCTCTTTGTCACTTTATGGTCATCCCCTTGAGTACAAAGATTCTGCAAAGTTTTTGGGGTTATTCTTTGACACTCGTTTTTCTTGGTCTCCCCATATCTCTTACCTCCATGTTGAGTGCTCTAAGGCCCTTACCCTCCTTCGGGTATTGTCCCATACTTCTTGGGGAGCGGATAGGCGCACTCTCCTTGCTTTACATTCCTCTCTCGTCCTGTCTAAGCTCGATTATGGTTGCCCTGCTTACTCGTCTGTGTCTCCTACTCTTCGCCGTCTTGATGTTTTTCATACATACTGGGTTGCGCCTCAGTTCTGGTGCCTTTTGTTCGACTACTGTCCTCAGCTTGTATGTTGACACAGGCTTCCTATCTCTCCAGGACCGCCGTGATCGCTACTGTCTTCGGTATTTTGCGCGATCCTTGCAACATCCTTCCTCTTGCCTCTGTCGTGCTTTAACTTTTACCTCTCCTGCAGTTCCTGTTCCTCTTCACCACCTCCCTCTTTCTGTCCGGTTATCTCGCTTACAGGATTCTCTTTCCGTTCGTATGTTTAATATTTCTCCTCGTGTTGTTCCTTCTTTGCCCCCGTGGAGAGTCCCCCTTCTGCGATTTTGTACATCGCATTCCCAAATTACGCTCGGTTGAATGCCAGTGTTGGCACTATTCTCCTCCCGCACCATGTTGCAACTGGTGTTTGGAGTAATGATACCAAACTGAAAGACCTAGGTCGAGAATTGAGATGTCCAAAGTGAAGAGTGTGTACACATTTTATTGCACTTGCGCACTCCCGGGTAACACGCTCTCACTTTCTCGCTGGGCTTTTGGGCTTCATATGCATTTAGTTCTGTAGAGAATTCTATTGCGAACACATCGATATCAATTTGAAAAACCTAGGACGAGAATTGAGATGACAAAGTAGAAGAGAGTATACACTTTTCAGTATTACCGCGCGCTCTAATGTAAAGAGAGCCTTGGAGTTTGCGCGCTCTTTCTGATAACCTTGGCCCACTTATCTTGTCGGCGGGGCATTATATGCATATACTCCTGTAGAGAATTTCATTGCGAACACAATACCAAAATGAAAGACAGGACCAGAATTGAGGTAACAAAGTTGAAAGGAGTATACCATTTTATTGCTTTTGATAGCCCTCATGGGGGTAACGCGCTGTCACTTTCTCTGTTTGCTGTGGGTGGTACGCCAGGCTTTTGGAGTTTAGATGCATTTACGTCTCTAGATAATTCTATTGCGAGCACATTGATACCAAATTGATAAAGCTATGACGAGAATTGAGGTGACAACGTTGAAAAAGAGTATACACTTCTCAGTATTAACGCACTCTTCTGGGTAACCACGGCCCGCTTTCATCACGTCGGCGGGTGGAGTGCTCTACGGTTTTTGACATATGCATATACTGTTGGGAATTCTATTGCGAATACATTGATATCAAAATGAAAGACTTGGGACCAGAATTGAGGTGACCAAAGTTAAAAGAATGTACACATTTTATTGCTCTTGTGCGATCCCCGGTAACTCGCTCTCACTTTCTCCGTTTGCTGCGGGTGGTAAGCCGGGCTTTTGGAGTTTATATGCATTTACAACTCTAGATAATTCTATTGCGAACACATTGATACCAAATTTAATGTCTTAGGACGAGAATTGAGGTGACAAAGTTGAAAAAAGTATACTCTTTTCAGAATTACCGCGCTCTCTCGCTCTCCCTGGGAACGCGAATCCCCACCTGGGGTAATGCAGCGCTCGCAGGCCCGAAGCAACAAAGTGTTAAGTAACACAATCAAGGTGGTGACAGTGTATACAGTTAATAATACTGATCACTAGATACTGTGCAAGTCAACACAAAATCACAGCCAAAGTACTCATTTAAAATTAAGGTTAAAATATTACAAGGATAGGTGTCACAGTACTGCGATGTTTAGCCAATGTAACTACATTGCACTTTGTTGTTCAGTTCAATTATATGAATGAAACATTATTCAAGTGTCTTGCTCTTATGTTCAAATCTTACCTGAAAGGATACGTAATTGAAACGAATTAAGTGGCGACTATTCACTGTAAATGGATAGTTGAAGCAGATTCCTTTGCTGAAAAGTTAGTTAACAGTGGTGGGGTAGCCTAAGCTACTCTATCCCTTTGAGATGTATTTTTTGTCTCAATAAACTTACTTGAACTTGTTAACAGGTCAAAAAATTAGTAAGCACTACAGCAGGCTTGTTGACCCATACCAAGCGAGTTCCTTATAAATTCACCACCTACCCCATGTACCTATACAATCTATTTTTGAAACCTGTTAAATCGTCATAGCACCACTAGCTGGTCTGCCATTCTTTTTCAGAACCCTATCTTCCTTGAGGTTATCTCGAGATGATTTCGGGGCTTTAGTGTCTCCGCGGCCCGGTCCTCGACCCCCAGGAAGCAGCCCGTGACAGCTGACTAACTCCCAGGTACCTATTTACTGCTAGGTAACAGGGGCATTCAGGGTGAAAGAAACTTTGCCCATTTGTTTCTGCCTCGTGCGGGAATCGAACCCGCGCCACAGAATTACGAATCCTGCGCGCTATCCACCAGGCTCCGTATACACAGTGTAGGGCACGAGTTAAACATTATTATTATTATCGTCCCAAAACAAGAAAAGGGTTAAATTAATAGATTTTCTTTTCAAACTTATTTATTCAAATTTCTGCATTCGTAAATATGGTACAGGGTTTGTTAAAGAAAAACTTATTAGCCTTACAGTACCAAATGGCTTAATCAAATTATAAATGAACATATATCAACAGGGATTGTGAAAAAATATACACTAGGTTTGTCCACACTTACTGAAAGTAGATCACGTGTCATGAATAACTTTTAGTGAATAAATTTCAGACACAAAGCTCATCTATTTTGAGGCAATAACAGTTACATTACTACATCAGCTAACCTCTGAACATCTGCAGCAGGTTCATCTGTAAAGCTTGTGTTGTTGTTGTTGTTCTGTACACTACAAAATACTACACCGCTTGGTGGAATGTACACACACGCACAGTAACATTTGCACTAGAGGAACACAGTATCACAGTCACACGTCCTTCAAGAACGACTAATTTGCACTCACACCCTCAGTCACTGAGTCATGTTACTGGAGGGAGGGGGGGGGAGGATAGAAGGGAAGGGCATGACAGACCACAGAGACTGGTATGGCTTTACCACCACCACTCCTCAAAGTTTCTGACATGTGGGAAATGTGTTAACATGGCAAGGAGAAAAAGCACTGGATGCACACCTTCCATTTACAGTCCAAATATGCTAAATCACATTCTGGGAACCCTATTACCCATATGTCTCCTCTATTCACCATTTTTTCCAGCTCTTGTGAAAGCAATAGGATACCCCATACAACTTTATGTTACAAACAATACTGGACTGCACTCAGCTTGCACCACATGCTTACAGAGCGCCATATCACACTGCCTTTTATCACAGTCAAACATTCACCAGTCACAAGACTGCAATTAACTTATTCCTTCTGTGGTCATCTTTTATGGCATTTTTAAAATCAGTTCCTTCTTGAGCAGTGTTTTATATTACAACATTCCATTCAAATCTTTGCATTCATTTAATACACAGCTAATATTTAATATTCAATCAACAATATGCTGAAAACAAATGTTATGCTGTTTAACACTGACTTCAAGATAGATCTAGATTTATAATGCCTAGCGCTGGCCGAGCTGTGCTTTTTATGGCTATCACTTAAGCCATTTAGAGGGGAATTTGGCACTAAACCTAAAACCCCTGTAAGTTAATGGAAGAAAAGCTTAACCCAAATACATGTCATTCATTCACACAAGTTTTCAACAGTCAAAAACACTGCTGACCAAGGGTTAAAATAATTATCTTCCAAAAACTTGCAGACTTCTTGCCTCATCACACTGCACATTTAGGGCTTTTCAACATACAACTGTAACAATCAGCAAACATGAATATCTGCAGGCCGATTGGGCCACATTAGATTTTCACGTTTAGATAGGACACCCTCATATGATATACCGGTAATAAGACCAAAAATGGCTGATACTGTTACAAACACTGTAGTTCAGACCACTATAGTCAGGCACAGCAGCACACAGTTTTACACATCATTCATGAGAAGCTTACGGGGAATATTTACCTTTTCAATCTGAAAACTATGTATCCCCTGAAGTTAACAGTAACCTATTTAAAGTTATTATTGCTAACTCCGACAGCTACTTGGGGATACTATCAATTTTTCATGAGACTTGGGAAAAAAATTATGGCCTAATGCATTTGAAGTTTCAATCCCATTTGCCTCAAAATGCCATCAACAGAACCACTACAGCCTTATCCCATTCTAGTGCCCTAAACACACAAGTGCTGTCACCAAAGAATTTAAGAGTATAACCAAAGAGGTACAATAATGGGAAAAACTGCTAATCCCATGCTGATGTTTACAAGCATCTGTACTCCCCCACCCCCTTTTTCTGTTTACAATGTTAGGAACTTACCAGGTTCCTTTACACATTTAACAACAATACACAACTCATGCAAAAAGCTCAAGAGCATGCCTTGTAAACATCTAAAATGGAATGCAGCAGAGCTGCCCCTGCCTATAAAATAGATTTCTTACTGACAGTGGAAGGGGTAGTTAAAAAATCCTTGTACCCTTGACTAGAAACCAGAGAAAACATTATTCTGCCATTTCTTCATAGATGGAGTGTTACCAGAAGGGTACATGTTTCAAGGCTACAGCACCATTCATTCCCACATAAAGGCACTTGAAAGGACTGGCTTTCTAATAAAACCATAGTTAAGAAACAGGACTTACTTTGGAAATGCTAGTTCTTTATAGATCAATTGAGGCAGATCTTTTCCTGGAAGTTGGAATGATTCACTGTAACTAATTCTCTGAAAGTCGCCTAGAAAAGATATTCCCTTCATTTATTAAAAGTCTTCCATGTATTTTCACACATATGAGGCCATCCGGTTGTCATCGCACATTTGGCCAAACTGCCGCACTTGCGATTGTCCACGTTCGTCTGTTCACTCACCACACAACCCATGCGCTGAACGGTCACCACTCACCACAGGCGGGCAACGCTCTTCCCTCACTCCATGCAGACACACCGCATCTGACTCACCACAGACTATACTCCGCACTCATCTGAAAAGCCAAGTTAGGGGCTACTACCAGTTAGATGACACTTGTGGACGTATGCCAGCCACTCACTACACTACTTCACTTTTCTTACTTGGTGTCATAACTGCTTGATCAGGTACACAAAGCAACACGAGATTCCCGACTGCCAAAGGCACACGTTGACACACTGAAGTAAGAAATATGCATTTCTCACACACAGTTAAGAGTAAGAAAGACTCTCGTATCACCAGAAAATACCATGCAATCAAACAGCTCATTCATTAATTTATCACATTCTTGTGTAGTTTCAATGAATATTAAGTCAAATTAAAATCCCTAAATATCCAAAATTTGTATCAAATTATATGCATCATTAAATCAAATTATATGGGTCTGTGATACACAACATTGGTGATAATTTATAATAACTTCAACCATCCTATAACATGCCCCCTATCAGTGCACTATTAGATAAACTAGGAATTACAGTAATGCAAATCTCCAACAACTATTTCCATCAACTTCCCTTGAATTTATTCTCCAAAACAAGAAAGTCAATTCAAACTTCAAAGTCAAAGAAACTTGGAATGTCAATACTGAACATTGCAACATAACTAAAAGGCAGAAATATGACAGAACAACACGCGCCAAGTCACAAAAATGGCCAAAATTTACATATCCTGTGTTATAGTGATGAGGCAATTTGACTTTTGGATCCTTCCAACAAATTTCCTCCACCACTATAGGTTAAAATACTCTAAATTTGGGGACGGCACCTACCAGACTCTGGAATGCTGGAAAGAAAAGGCAGGTTTATCAGTCCCCATAGCGCAGTGGTAAGACACTCGCCTGGCACTTCACGAGCACTTTGGCCGGGGAGGATTGACCGGGCACCAGTCCTTAACTGTAGCCTCTGTTCACACCGCAGTGAATGGGTACCTGGCTGTTAAACGATTTGGCGGGTCGTATTCCGGGGAAAATATGGATTAAGGACCTCCCTGAAATGCTATGCATGCTAGTGGCTTTACAAGAATGAAGTAACTCTTGTACATATAAATAAAAAATAAAAAATGGCTGTCTAGAATGTGTGAGGAATAAATCAGTGACAAAAGGTTTAAAGGCTGTGTGTTTGAATGCCTTCCAACGTGGTAGGCAGGCAGGCGTGGCAGGCACCTCGTCAACCACAAAAGGAAAGTTGAGAAAATTTGGGGCTAAACTAGCACCAGCATTGTGAAGCAAAGTTATGAGGGCATATTAAAAAAAAAAAATAATAATAATGCCAGGAAATGTAATAAATCAAATATTAAATGCCTAGAGATAGATCGTTACCATAGTCACTGACAATTAGTCATTTTAGTTTTGTAAAAGTTATTTCTGTATATTAAGCAAAACTTAAAACTTTTATCAATACATTATACAAATCATTTAACCCTAAATAGAAAGTTGGTCCTTTCTAATAAGAGAAAACATACTAGCTTTATAACATACATTTTCTATACAGGCATTTATATATAGTGTGATTGTGTACTCTGTATAAATGCAGACTGCAGCAAAATTTCCTTCATGAGCATGGATCTGCAAATTCACCAAAAGCCCCCCACCTCCCCCACCAAACACTAAGCTTCAAAATAAACACATTTGTATATCAAGAGAAGACAAAATCTAATGTAGATGCAAAGCGGCCAGAAGGAAGGTTTGATGTGCTTGTTTTATAACAGATTAAAAGAAGCTATTGTTAGTGGGGGAATGGATTAAACATTATAAATAAGAGGAGTGAAAGAAAACGAGAGAAATGAGGGAAGAATGCCTTAACACTATAGTTTCAATGATGCTAAATTTTGTTGTCCATCTTGAAATTACCAAAAATCTCCCCCCCCCCCATTTTGGAGCATGGTGTAAGTATAGCTTATCAGGGGGCCAACCAAAGCACGGGGAAACCATCCAGAGATTACCTCAGCCAATTATCCCTCAAGACTTTAGAGAACTGTTACAGTTTTGCAAATTACCTGCATGGAAAGTTGAAAGTTGCTCATTTTCTTTATAAAGTAACAGACTGATGGTGTACATGTTTCCATGTTTTATTTTTATTTAAGTAGAAAAATTAGGGAGGAATTTTAGAATGTTTAATATTTGTATATTCAGATATCATAAATTATATTTTATTTTGCATCTATACTCTTGCAAATTAAATTAAATTCTGAACCTTTCGACACCAAATTTATAGTAATACTGTACTCAAAAAACAAAAACAAATTAAAAGAATTCAAATTTTATAGATTACAATGCGCGACAGACACACCTGGAATGTTTACAGTTGGGAACATACCGATTGATCAGTACGTTAATGGCTAACAAATACCTTCATTGCTGTAATACAAGATATTCTTGTATGAAGCTACTCAAGATTTTACAAACTAAAAAATCTAATGTAAAAACATTTGCTACCCAGGGAGCCGGTCGGCCGAGCGGACAGCACGCTGGACTTGTGATGCTGTGGTCCTGGGTTCGATCCCAGGCGCCGGCGAGAAACAATGGGCAGAGTTTCTTTCACCCTATGCTCCTGTTACCTAGCAGTAAAATAGGTACCTGGGTGTTAGTCAGCTGTCACGGGCTGCTTCCTGGGGGGTGGAGGCCTGGTCGAGGACCAGGCCGCGGGGACACTAAAGCCCCGAAATCATCTCAAGACAACCTCAAGATAACCTATACCCTACCCGTAGTGTGGAGTGCGTACCTTCTCATATCTGCAACCTTAAGTGAAGACACTAACTGATCATACTGAATTCAGATATTATTCTGAATATTAGTTTTTATCAATTAACGGTTTCTCGATACCAAACAAACATTTTAGCAGAAATTATAAATTACAGAACTAACACCCGTTTAAAATAATGCTGTAAACATCGCCAAATGTCTATCACAGACCCACAAGATGATAATCAACATGCCATTAATACTTTACCTGACTATTTACTTACCAACTGCTGTTGTTTTTAAGGCGTCGAATCTCTTTCGTTGCCCACATGGCCAATGTCTTTGTCTTTGAAGTTTTAGAACGTCGGCCTTGTGAAAGAAGACTGGTGATGGGATCCGTCTCGACCAACTGTAGCATGTCGGCCCCAAACACGGAACAAAGGTCTCTGGAAGAAACATACAAAATTATCAAGTAAATCTTTTGAGAAAGTATTGTGGACAAGTGTGATGGGATGAGTGAATGTTCTCCAGGCAACTCAAGTCATTCATAAACATTCAATTAGTAAAATATATTAGTGTGAAGACCAATTTATCTTTGCTTTGGCCAATTAAAAAAAACTTATATGCCGAGGCATGCCTGCACGTTTCGCATACTTACACCAGTCTTCAATATCATGGTTAATGCCACTAACTGATAGACAGCGGTTATTGTCGCTTGTTGAATCACATGGCAATGCAGTTATTATCATATGAAGATTTAACAAATTATTGTCTACGTTTCACATGTATGATACAAATATGGATATAATAGGTCTATGTGGATGTAATGGAGTTTACCTTGACCCATGAAAAAATCCTGTTGCCATTTCAGGGTATAATTGCTGTTATCGTGAATGTTATCAGGGGAATGTCGTCATTATGATGGTTTAAAAAATTACAGTACTGCGATCTGTGTGTGTATTGAAGAAAAGGGTGTAGAACATCTGGTTGACAAAACCCGGGTGCATGGGGGGAATTTATGATACAAAGGAATTTTTCAAATATCGGGAAAAAATTCTAATCATTTAACCCTTAAGCTGCGCAAAACGTCATATGAAGTCAGACAGAGCTCAGTTTTTAAAATTTGCCGAAATGCTTTCAAATGTTTTGTGCATAATCTACTAGGCAAATGTTCCGACTCTGTCTAAATGATAAAGTAACTTGAAAAACAAGACTATAAAAAATATTTATAAAATTGAATATTGAGAACTTCAGGAACTGAAATCAGCTTCAAAAATATTAAATGTCACCAATTGTTCATTTGGTGTTACGTATTATGCTCTCAGGATAGCATATGATCTTCATTTTCATATATTTAGAATATAAGTTTTCAGTATAGTTCATTATCTTGAGATGATTTTGAGGCTTAGTGTCCCCGTGGCCTTGTCCTCGACCAGGCCTCCACCCCCAGGAAGCAGCCCGTGACAGCTAACTCCCAGGTACCTATTTACTGCTAGGTAACAGGAGCATCGGGGTGAAAGAAACTGCCCATTGATTCTCGCCAGCGCCCGGGATCGAACCTGGGACCACAGGATCACGTGTCCAGTGTTCTGTCCACTCAACCACCAGCTCCATATTTTTTCCCCTTAAAGGAAACTACAGTTTACTATAAAAAAAATCGTCCATATGGCATTTGAAATATGCGCAAATTTATATCTCCAAAAGTTCAGGGTTTATGAAAAATCAATTTTAGAGAGATTGTAGAACAGACAACTGTGCATACTATATGTAAAAATGGTGGTGAGAATTTGTCAAACTAGATTTTTGGATACTGAAGTTGAAATTCTAATTATTCTAATGTTGCATCTATCTATAAAAAAAAATATTAAAAATAAAAGCTACTATATATTAATTTAAAACATGTTCTCATACCTCAACTGAACCCATGTACTAGGCAAATTTCAGATTTTTTTTTAATTTAAACCTATTATAAGATTGACACTTGTGAGGAGAACCTGTCCTAAAGAAATGTCTCGTCTACATCATTTCAAGATATTGGCAGGCAGATATACCTGGGTGAAACAAAAAACAATGCAAACTTAAACAAAAAAAAAATTGTTTTAAATATGCTAGTTTTCCCAAAGCATCAACTATTTCTCCTAGTGTTTGATTTTTAAGAAAATTAAAAAAAAAAAAAGGTATCTGAGCAATATTAGTCATCAGCCTTTGGCTATTAAGTCATCATATTTGTGAAAAAAAAAAAAAAAAATTCTTATTGAAGTATACATTTACATGACAAGAGCCTGAACTATCTACTCTAGTTCTGCAAGGTGTACATAGTAGCCATTGAGGGGGGGGGGGTCATTTCATAAAATATGGTCATATGAATTGTAAACTTTTAAACCTTCTTAACACAACTCTTAAAACCTTAAATTATCTTACCCTATCAGTCCAACAGAACTTGCAACAACAGGATCCGACTTCTCATCATCTGCTGCAACCGATGTTATGAATGTTATCATGTGGGGCACATGTGTACGTAGTAGTTGCACTTCTTGCTTGGGTGCTGGACCGTCTCCTTTCAATCCCTGGACAATGCCAGTGTAAGCTTCTAAGCAGGTTTCACGCAGTTCATTAAGGTAGTCTAGCATATCGAAGTCAGAGCGGTCAACCTGGGCCTGTGATGCCTGATGAAGCATTTGAAGAACAACATCTAAATATTTGGTAAATTTAGGTCCCAGTGCCAGAGCCATATCTCCAAATACCGACAAGATTGTGGGTTTAACATTTCGGTGAACGTTATTGTTGCCAAGATTTTCGACCAGCATGGACATTAGTTCATCACAGAACGGCTCTACTTTATCTCCAAGAGCACGGCATATATCTCCTGTGACGCCAACAGCTGCAGAGCACACTGGAAAGTCATCAACATTCCTCAAACCCAAAGCCAAGAAAGGTTTGAATGCATCCATATATTTCAAAAAATTGTGCCCAAGTACTTCAATGAGTGTAGAAACGGCAAGAAGTGCATCCTCCTGAACACCTCCAGACTTGCCCTGTGATGTTTGGAACATCTGTAGCAAAGCAGCCATAATAGGGTCACTGATCTTTGGAGCATCTTCAGGGGTTACTTTACGAAGTACAGACTGCAGCGTGGCACACAACAAGGACTGGATATCATTAACTTGAACACGATCACTGTGGGATTGAACTTGTGACTCCATGTGAAGAACTTGCTGCAACCTTTCCAAAATTATCATTGTGGTCTTTTGAACAGTGGGATAGCAATCGTGTGGCGAGTTTTTCATAAGTTCCATAAGAGCCTCATATGCTGCATTGCGGAGATTGCACTGATTACCATCTGCTCTATCAGTTGTCTGCAACAGCACATCTACTAAGGGGTCAAAGAAAGCAGAAAGACAATAAGTGGGAGGCTCGCCATCCACTTCACCCGTGTCAGCTTGTTCATATGCAGCTTCTGCCAAGGAACTGAGTGCCCAACAAACATTCGACGCAACACGAGGCTCTCCTTTGAGGCTGTGCACAAGTGCTTCCAACAACAATTTGAGATATGTATCATTGCATGCAGCATCAGGAATCAGTTCGCAGACACGACCCAAGGTCCAGGCAGTAGTGTCCCGCACAACTACCGAAGTATCACTAAGGGCCTCTATCAAAGTTGGCATTGCCTGCTCAACCATAGGTTTCAGATTAGTAGGATCTGGACCTTCCAAGATGGAACCTGCAGAAACATTAAATTTACATTACTAATAATTTCATACAACTAGATGGCCAAACTTTTTACTAATAATAATAATCCTACACATATCTGGAAACAAACGCAGAACACAAAAGCAACCAATCCTCTTCACATGACAGTACTTACAGTAACTATTTGGTAGAATTTATAAAAAAAATGAAGCTGGCCAACAATGTTCAAACTTTGTATCATAAATTTTGTAGAGGCCATGAAAAAATAAGTAAAAGAAATTAACCTTAAACATTCCTAAGCTGTTTATAGCACACACATGTACTACGTTGGGAGTAGTACATGTGTGTGCTATTACAGTTTCCCCAATTATTTATCGTGTCATTTGGATTAATATTGCAATGCAAAATGTGAACGTTTCTGGGTCTAACACTCCATTTTTATACATTAGTACCTATTACATTTTATACATTATTATTTTAGGAGGATAGGCTGCACATTAGACAAAGTCAACTAATTCTTTGCCCAAAACGCTATGCGTACTAGTGGCTATAGGTATTATATGTACTAGCTCTATCTATAAATCCAACATTAGGTTTGTAATTCTTCATGTATGTATGTACTTTTACCGACAAAAAAATTTAATTTAATTTAAGCAATTTCAACAAACCCAATAAAATATTTAAATTTATAGAAATCAATTACTGTTATAATCATACCCTTAAAGAAATGACACCTTATAATTTAAAAGAAAAAAGTAGGGATATATTTCCATTTACAAAATGTGAGCACAACTGTAAAAACATCTGCTTTACGTCATCAAAGAACTATCACGTTCATAAGGCATGTTCAATATTTTTGTATGGGCATTCAAGAGTAAACAGTGGGGTAGCCTTTTTTATGGATTTATACACATTTTTTAATGCCAGAGAAGGAAAGTTTTTCTATATAATAATGTTATATATACATATTTTTAGTCACATTTTAACCCAAGAAAGGAACAGGGGTCAAGACCAATGTGTCACTGAAACAAATGATATCATTTATTTACAAAAGTGTTAATGCTTTAATTATGCTATTTACAGTACAGTAATGTATAAGGTACAGTGTATGAACAGATGCAATTTTTGTTTTATCTTTATACCATCTTTTGATGTACTGATCCTCATCTTCACTAGGTTTAAGCCTACCTACCCTCTGGGGTGAAATAGGTAAATAATTACGTTTCCTTCAAATCCTAAATCAATTCCAATCCAAAGACGTGTAAATATGCAATATCAAAACCTAATTACAAATGAATTAAATACAGCACCCTGCAGACATCAAACCAATATTTACTAAACTACACACTAACCAAATGCCATAATAGCAGCATCCCGCAGTCTCCAGTTGGAGTGCTTGATGTTTTCCTTGACAAACGGAAGAACGTGTGGAACAATATCATCTTCCGTGCAGGTAGCCAACAGCATCACACACACACCAGCTGCTTTACATGGGTTCCACTCATCATCATCATCTGCCTCTTCCTGCTTGCTTAATGTCATCATCAACACTGGTACAAGGTACTAGGGATGGGAAGAGGCAGGGGGAAAAAAAAAGTGATTCCTTCAAATGGTGTACAAAGCAAACAAAATTCAAACTAAAAATGGTATTTTAAACAGTAAACTGGCAAATATCAATGAAGAACATGGTATATATATTTTCAAGAAAGTTTTATTCCCTTACCTGTAGAGCACCTTTAGCATAAAACCTGGAGGTCCTCTCTGGTGGACGGCCAAGTTCAGCAGCCTCAGAAGCCTCAATAGCCAGGTCCACTTCTTCATCACAAACATTGGACCAAAACTCAATGCCCTGCAGTGCCACTTCATCAATATCACTCTTCATTGCTTCTAGTGTAATCTGAAGGAACAACAAAAATGGTGAAAGGTAAGTAAAAAAAAAAAAAAAGATGGGGGGGGGGTCCTCAAATAGTAACCGAGATGGTAGAAATGGGATGACACGTGAGGATAGAAAAAAAATAGAGTTAGGGAAGGGCAACCAAAAGATGGGACAATGGAATTATAAGAGAAGCAGAGTACAAAGAGAGAAAGTGGAACAAATGGGGTTGGGATGAGATTGTAAAATGGACGAGGGAGAGAGATGTTCAAAATTACACACAAATCACAATAGCGTGATGCATCAAATGAACAAACCCACAAGAGCTGTGACGAGGGCCATGGCCCTTGTGGATTTGTTCATGTTCAAAATCAAGTCATACTTACTGCAAATAAAGCAGGACCCATGTAGTGTTCCATATACTGGTAGTATAGCGACATGATCTTCACCAGACATTGTAATGCCGCCACTTTAATTTGGGTGTTAGTTGATTGTGTAGCTTCACACACCACCTAATGAAGAACATACATGGAATTATATTCAAATTATAACACTATTTTAACTCTTATCAGCCACAAGTTATTCAAGTTTCAGTCTAGCTTGACTTCCTTTAGGGTTGAAAGAAATTTCAACTAATGACATTTCCCATCTATCTCTATATTATCACCTACAAAAAAAATTGTAGTCATACTGGATTAACCTGCATTTGAGCTATGCATACCTTGTTCCGAGCTGTAAAACTGTGCCAACCCCAACAAATATGAAATGTAAGCATCCAGCAAATGTTACAGTTGCCTCAAAACCAAAATGTAATGATTTAGGAGGTGAAAACAGTGTTAAAGCCATTCATTGCATCAGATTGGCTTTGCACACTGCCTCTGTTCTTAGCCTATCACATGTAAAATGTGAAAACACTTCAAACAAATGATCCAAGTGTAAGTGCTGCATGTAAACATAAGAATTAAGGAAGCTGGAGAAGGCCTATTGGTCTATACGAGGCAATTCTTATTTGTACCTAACCCAAGGAAGAAAGTGCCATCAAAACAAGGTAGCAAGCTGGGAAGACTATAACATATATCCTCCCCTAATCCCTCAAATACATGCCTAACCCAAGTTACAAACAATCCATCAATCCCAAATCCATTACGTTACCCAGTAATTTGTTCCATAAAACAACACCCATTTAAAAATCAGCAAGTAACCACATGGCTCACTTCAGTATTCAATCAACAAGACATTAAACCCTATCATGTTAACCAGTGACCCCATAGAATGTCATTAAGATAAACAATGTTTCAAGGTTATCAATATAATAAATTAAATCAATACCTTTATGTTAACAAACTTACACAGAATGTACTGTACTTGTTGCACCATGCTGTGGGAGGATGGAGCCTAGCTACATAAAAATACCACAATCTAAAATTTTTTAGAAGGGCAAGAAGCGAGATATAAAATTACGAAAATCCTAATTATTCAACATCACTAAAGGCCACTGCTAAGGGTTACCGATCAGAATATTATTTATTTTATGAAAAAAGTTATTTATTTTATCTCTAGGGAAAAATAAGTAATATCAAGCTGCATAACCCACCAAAAATATCATGACTAAATATAATCAACTTCAGATAGAAACAAAATCCAAACATAATATTATGTAACAGTTGATGCAAGCTTGTCTTTAAGGTATAATTCACTATAACAACTAGTACACTAGATAAATATGCACCTGCATGATGAAATGCCGTTCCGCATCTCTTTCAAAGTTTTGTCTAGTAAATTCCAGAGAATTGAGAAGGGCTGTTGTGGCTGCTAGTCTAACGTGATCATTTGGTTCGTCTCGTTTCATTCCATGGACAATAGCAGTAAGTATGTTGTTACTCTGGGCTGCTATTGCTTCGGGTTCAATATCCTGTAGAGTATTTCAAATTATATATTGTATTAGCATTTATATAAATACTGGAATTTAATCAATCTTTAATGAATGCATAACTCATTGTGTAAAAATATTTTGATAAAAGAAGACAAATGCTATCTTCATTTTACAAGCTTCAAACGTCTTAAAACTACATTCTTACTGCAAAACATCTACACGATTAACAAAGTGTCAAATGAAAAATGTACTGTATTGAACATTTAAAATGTGGTTAAAAAAAATATTTCTCACCTGACATATATATCCAATAGCTTCTAATGTAGATTCTTTGGTCATATCTGTTGCCCCGGGTGCGGTCACATTGGCCACTAACCTATCAATAAGGTCTGGCCATTGCCCCACAGGAATTTCTGTAAGGGCAATGTAGGCCACACACTGAGCTGCAGAACTTGGCCGATTCTGTTCTGTGCCCAGTGCCCCAACAACCTGAAAGTGGTGATAATATATTTAGTAAAACAACAATGCACCATTGCAGATGAAGTACCAAACTACAAAAATTATATAGCACTATATGCAACACAAGAATGGAGATAACTGCTAGGTAAAAAAAAACCTCCATATATGTCCCAAAACAAATTCCCCCATCACAACTGGGTAAATGAGAAAGGTATCTACAGGAAAGGGCACATGATATATGCAGTGCAGTAATAGTACAGGGTGTATTAGAGTAAAGGAATAACTGTGTAAAAAAGTGCAAAAAACAACATGTACAGGAAGAACAGTATCCTCAGCAAACTTGCTATATTGGTTGTTATAACTGGTTAGGTGTTTAAACTTGTTCGAACGTTGTACCAACGTCGTAGTTTCAGTGTGTGTTTGGCAGGATGATGATGTGTACTAATTAATGTACATGCTACTATTTTAGGAAGTTTTTTCTATTGAAGAAACATTTCATGCAATTTATTTTACACGTATAGAGCAGCAATTAATGATCAATGGTATTCAGAATACTCATTCAGCCCATCACAAAATGGTATACAATATTTAAATTTAAAACATGAAATTTAACTTACATTACTCTTAACATAGTCCCTGACATCTGGCAAAAACGCCAACCAGCGCTGTTGGTACTGTATTTTAACTTTGGCATCATTAGAGGCTAAAGTATTCTTCAGCTGAATACCAGCAGCCATACGAGCCACAGTAGAATTGCCCCCATGGTGGAGGACATCGCTGAGTACTTTCACATATTCTGGCTGGAAAACAAATATACAAAATTAACTTTCATACACAAACTAAAACTTTTGTACAAAATCCTAAAAATTCTAAAGAATCTGTACAACTATTAAGAACACGTTTGCCGACACTTGCAACAATTTACCTATCCAGATGACTACAGTTTGTACCCTAACAATCCCCGTCTGAGTATCAAAGCCATTTCTTTCTACTCAAAATCATGATCCACTTTACAAGTCCATCATTCACTTGAGGCGGAGCAAAATATTTTACTTATGTGGCATGGAATTTTTGTTCTATGACAACCTTCTGTTAAGCAAACTTAACCCTTGAAATATGCATACAAGATGATCAACCCATAGTGCACGGATCACCCTAAGAAGTTTTAGGTACTTTTTAACACTCAATTTTAACTGGTACACCAGGGGGGTCCCCAAACAGTACTTGAGGCCTCCATAAACACCGAGGGTTAATGTTGTATAGTACGGAGGAAAATAGTTTGCTTAAAAATAAACTTTTTACTCACAGTATCTCAAACTGTCTATAGATATTATTTAGTACACTAAACTTTCCCGGCCACAAACATTCAGCATGAAGTAGCTTGCGTACAGTCGCCACTATAACAGTAGGGGATGTGTAAATATTTGCAGTATTACTACAAAGTGTAAAAGCCTAATTATTAGGTGCCATTCTTTACGAATGCAATTCACAGCACGTGTGGTCACTTCAGGGTCAAACTGGCACTAGAACTCTTTCAAATTTCTTGCTCTCGTTCATCTCTAAATTACTATCATGGCTCACTCAATCGATCATCTTTCTTTTCCTCCTGTAACAATTTCTCATTCGCTATTCTAACTTCTTATGCCAATTTTGTTTACAAACCCTTTTTCAATCCATGCCACACAGCAGTAAAAAAAAAAAAAAAAAAATCTCTGAATAGTCACTTACACCCCTCATGAACCTTTCAAATTAGTAAATCACTTGCATGATTAAAATTAAAGTTTTAAATAATTTAAAGGTGGTGAAAACATGGCAGAGAAAACCTAATGAGAAAAACTAAAGATGACATTTTACCTGCAAGGGCTTAAAGAGCTCTTGCAAATAGATGTCCACATCGTTGTCACCACTTTCTTCTCTTATTCAACTAGTGATCTTCAGCCAATTAAAAATACACAAGCCTATATAGTACTTAACCCCTATTAAACAATAACATCTCTACTGTATTAAAATACACATGAAAATATTACATCAACTTGTTTGTACTTTCATTTAGAACAGTTTACTCACCAAATTCGCCTGAGCAGCCTGTTCCAGGTATTTTAGGGCAGTTTCCAGCTCATTTTTATCTGCAAGAAAACATATATGCATTTCAGTAAATAAAGTGCAAACAGGTTACAGTATCCATGCACAAAATTACAAAATTATGAGCCTATAGAAACCGACCAAAACAATAACGCTCAATACAAAGACCTGCATCAATAGATGAACAGTGCTATCCCAAACTACACCTAAATATGCCAGATTTCACCAAATGGTGTTAATGTAATGTGATGTTCCTACTTGTACTCTGGGGGAACAAAGATTTAAAAATTTAAGCAGTCTCAATAATTTAGACATTTCATTGAGTTGACTATGGCAGCACAAGATCTTTGCATATTCTCCAACCGCTTGGGCTGGACAATAGAGCGACGGTCTCGCTTCAAGCAGGTTGGCGTTCAATCCCCGACCGTTCAAGTATTTGGCCACCATTCCTTACCCCAGCCCCATCCCAAATCCTAATCCTGATCCTCTCCTAGTGCTATTTAGTCCTAATGGCTTGGCAATTTCTCCAGATAGTTCCATTCCATTCCAGGTCGGCAATTTCTCCAGCTTTGAATAGAGCTGTATTGTACAACAATATTTCACCAGAGAAAGCAAGTCTTAAAAGTATCATTGGTCTGGCATCTCGTTTGAAAGGTTGTTATTAAACCTGTCATTTTTCTTGCAGTTGCAACAGCTACTTTGTATTCTTTAAAAGTAAGGTCTTCCAACATTATGACCCCAAATCTTTTATATTAACATTTTGTTCTATAGTGTGATTTGACTGCATTTTATATTCTATGTGGTTTCCATTTTGGTATTTAAATTTTTTTACATAATGCAGGAGCTGGAGATTATCTTCATTAAACATTTTCTGTGACTGAAAACAAAATTGTATCACCACAAGACCATAGATAATGGATATAGAAAAGTGAGCAAGGTAATGTACTCAAACATTGATGGGATTACAAATAAAGCAAGTGAACTGGCCAAAAGGGCACAGGAAGAAAACCTAGATGTAATAAGACAAACAAAATTGTCAGGCACCATAATATATGCAGTGTTTCCACAGGACTACTTTATAGTAAGGAAAAAGAGGGAACAGATGAGGAGGAGTGCCCTGCTAATAAGGAAAGACTGGAGTTTCGAAGAGATGGATATCACAGGCTGTGAAGGATTCATCGAGTACTTAAATTAACAGGAACTATGACAATGGGTGGACCCAAGATAATAGTAGCAGTCATTTACAACACACCATTAAATGGCAGAAGATCCAGATTGGAGTCAATAGAAAAAATATAGCAACCATTAACACATGCGCGCCTCAGGCGTGTGCTCCGCACATATGCACGAACTAGTCCTGGCGGTGCGGGCGAGCGCTTGGCAACACAATGTGTATACTCGTTTCAGTTTTCTCGCCTTAATTCTCATGCTACGTTGTTCATTTTGGTATTGTATTCTCAATAGAATTCCCTACAGGTGTATATGAATATAAGGTCCTAAAGTCAAGCATGATTCCCCACAGCAAAGCCTAAAGTCAGCAAAAACTACCCGTGAGCACACAAAATCAGTCAAATGTGTGTACTCATTTCAGTTTTCTCACCTTAATTCTCGTGCTACGTGGCTCATTTTGATGTGTTCGCAAGTAAATTCCCTGCAGGTGTTGTATATGCATATATTGTCCAAAAGCCAAGCATGACTCCCTTCAGCAAAGCCTAAAGTTACCCGTGAACGAGCACCAATTTGCACATCGCAGCCAAATGTGTATACTCGTTCAGTTTAATAACATCAATTTTCGTGTTACGTCTTTCATTTTGGTATTAAAACTAGTCTCATAATAATAGAGCAATAAATAGAATTGTAACATTTTAATTTTGGACACATCACAAATTTATATATCTTATGAGAAGCATCAAGACAGTTGAAGATAAGACACTGGAAGAATGGTCTAGAAAATGGCTAAGTTTAACTCAGCATAGTGTGAAGTAATGAAATTAGGGGAAGGGAGCAGGAGGCCAAACAAGTACTGTACCATCTGGGAGGTGAAATCCTGCAAGTCAAATAAGAGAGATCTGGGGGTCAATATCACACACAACCTGTCCTCAGAAGCCATCATTAACAGGATATCTACAGTGGCATATGCTAGATTTGCCAACATAAGAACTGCCTTTTTTAAACTTGTGTAATGAATCATTCAAAACAGCCAATCCTGGAGTCCATACCTAGTTAAATACAAGACAAAGTTAGAAAAGATTTAGAGGTATACCACCACACAGTGGTCTTTGGAGGCCTGGTCGAGGACCGGGCCATGTGGACATTGAGCCCCAAAATCATTGCAAGGCAAGGTATGCCACCAGACTAGTCCCACAACTGAAGAGGTCCAAGTTACGAGGAAAGGCTCCAGGAGCCCCTCATGTCCCTGAAAGACTAGAGTAAAGGGGGGAGATAATCACCACCTATGGGTCCCATGGCAACTGCACGAGGTCGTATCCCTCTATATATACTGTACACTGAACTTTTTCAGTGTCCATAGTTAACAAATGAAATGCATTAGGCAGTGATGTGGATTCAAGACTCCATACACAGTTTCAAATGTAGATATGATAAAGCCCAATAGGCTCAGGAATCTGTATTCCAGTTGACTGACAATTAAGAGGCAGAACCAAGAGCTGAAGCTCAACAGACCAAATGACCTCCCCCCCCATCACTGAGCTTCCTACTCTCATACATGAAACCAGGAAAGAAATCACAGGAATGATAATTCTGAGAGAATATACCAAGGTCATTTGATGGAACCAAAATCATCATACAGCCTCAACACTTTATCCTAAGCTGCACAGAGGCAGTTTTACAGTTTGTTTAGGATTGGTTTGACATTACCTAATTGTGCTTGCATTACAGTGATTCTGGACCCTCTCAAAACGGTAATCACCTGTCTTCACACTTAGGAAATTTATTGATGTTCCTAGTAGTTGCCATTTTCAAAAATTCATCTTTGTATTTTACTGATTCCTGATACTATTTTGTATCTGATAGTTGTGATCATATCTTTTTCACCTATGTTCTAGCTTTGGTATACAGTATTTAATACCTTTAACTTCTCCTTGTAGCCCTTATTTTTCGTTCTGGAAGCCATTTAGTTGCATGTCATTGCACCTTTTCTAGTGATGTGCTTGTTAAGATATGGGCACCATACAACAACTGATGCCTATTCCAACTCTGATCTAACAAAGGTCATGAATAATTTCTTTAACATCACCCTTTATGTATTTAAGCCATTCTTAAGTTGGAAAGTAATTACCCAAGTGTAGTTACAGGATGAGAGCTACTACGCTCGTGATGTCCCGTCTTTCCAGCATTTTTTGTCATAATGCTTTGAAGCTTAGTGTAGCATTTGATCCTTGCACAATGTTCATGTGATCCTAAGGTGACAGTTTTTTTCCAGAACCACCCTAGATCTCTATCAGAATTCTTTATATTAATAAAATGGTTATTGTTATTTATTATTAAACTTATAATAATTTTAAGTTTTCAATCATGTGGATCATCGGAGACTCAAACTTGGGCCTCGAAAGTACCATACCGTTGTTTCGTCCCTGTATGTGTGTGTGGTGCTGCAGCTGCGGAATATTTTATGACAGCCACATGCCAAGAGTTAAGGAGTTTCACCAGTATATAAATACAGTACTATAATGTTTAACAAAGATTATGAGGAACTGAAATTTAATAAACAATTTTCAAATCAATGATAATATTCACCCATACAATTATACAATACTATAATCTGGCATCTGCGATGTTGGCAGGTGGCCATTTTCCTTGTGCAAGATACTGTACATGAATGAATGAATGAATGAACGTGTGTTTTACCTTAACATGCGGTATTGAGGTGCTGGCATAGGTAACATTCAGGTCTTATCCCCTCTTATTTCATATACACCTACAGTATTCTTAAGAGAAGACTAGGCTATGTCTACCATACTATATACCTTTGTTTATAAAGTACTGAATAGAGGTTATCTCCATACTCTAGTAATTTTAAGACAAACTTAAATTCCTTCAGATATTTCCCATCATTCTGTGAACTCGTTAAAATATTATTTCTTAATACTGTACGTACTTCCTTTATAGCCTCTTCAGACTATGTTCACTATTTTTCTGAAGCCTAGGCTAATCCTTTCCTTCAATTAAATAATTTTCTCCTCCATTATGCATTTAATCCTCTATTATCTCATTGTTCTCAGTTTCAGGGTACAGCCCACTTATTCTTTTTGATATTATTTAACATATATACAGTACTTGCTTTTCCCTTGTTGCTAGTTTTCACCTGAACTAAATTCAAAGTTTCCACTTTTAAATTATTGATCATTTGTTAATCAAAAATCAGTTCTGTTTTTCATGTAATTTAATTAATTACATTTTTTGCTTTGTATTGAAGCCACATTAATTAAAATTTGTATTTCTTACTTTTCCCACCATCCCAACTTTACACTTTGCCCTCAAGGATACTAGCTCATGCCCTGCTTGTCTTTAAAATTTGGAACTTGCTTTTTGGCAATATCCCTTATTTGCTCTACAAAGCCATTCCTTTCATAATCTGTTTACAAAAATAATTTATTGTAACCAGAATGTGTTGCACAAGAAGTGGACAACACGAGCTCGACCCCAAAAGTTGCTGGCAAGTGGAAATTCATTAAAAATAAGAACCTCAAGTTTACTCTGAAAAAATCTACTGTCCCTGTTAGGATTTCAAATGCTTACACTTAGTTGGAGGACTAGTGCTGTGAAGAGGTGACTACCCAGTCTCCAGGTAGGGCAAAGACAGGAATAAGACAAGCAGAGAATGCTCAGGCGAGGTATTTGGACAGCACTTTGCGCTAGAGATAAGGCAAACAGGTTACAGGTTTGCTATCCGGGAGTTGGCATTGAGGATATTGGGATATATTGATATTGACATACTAAGGCTGGTAATGGAAACAAACCTGTTATTTGTTCAAGCACTAGAGGAAATGAAATAGGAAGAATTAAGAGTGAGGCACTAATAAAG